CATTTTTAAGCATATAATTATTTAGAATTAAAAAAAAAAAAACATTTTACATTTTTTTGCTACATCTGTTATCTACATCTACATATACTATGTATATTATACATCTAACATGTATATTCTACATGTACCATTTAGCACTCCCTAGTTAGGGTTGCTCGCGCACTGAACGCGGCAGAGTGTGCGAGCGAGAAGGAAAATGAGTAGCGTTGTTGTTTGCGGGAGGGGGCAGGGGAAGCAACAGAAAATTAATTTCTTCATTCTGGCTATAATTATGATCCGATCTAGTTCAGATTTGGTAATCTGGTAGATATGGTTATTTTCTACGATACTGCGTTTTTAGTTATATCGTATCTTTAAAATTGTGCCTGCCACAGATTTTCGTTCTTTGTGGGGGCGGAAGGGGGCGGGGCGAAATTCTGAAATACACTTGTAACAGTGTGATATCACATAAGTCTGGAAACCAAATTTGGTTTCGCTAGCTTTTATAGTCTCTGAGATCCAGGCGCTCATCGAGACGGACAGACGGACAGACAGACGGACGGACGGACGGACGGACAGACAGACATGGCTATATCGACTCGGCTATTGATGCTGATCAAGAATATATATACTTTATGGGGTCGGAAAATTTTAATTCTCTGCGTTACACACATCCACTTTTACCACAAATCTAATATACCCCTTAACTCTTTTTTGAGTACGGGTATAAAAACAGCATCCTTGACGTTTGAGGAGCTGAACACAGTCATAATCGATATTGAAGCAATTCTCAACTCCCGACCCATAACTCCAATGTCAAATGAAGTGCGCTCACTCCAGGGAATTTCCTGATCGGTGAACCTTTGACCGCAGCACCTGACGTCAACACTGATCGTCAAGAAAAAACTCTGGTTAAGCGCTGGGAATTGGTGTCACGCTTAAAACATGCATTTTGGAAACAATGGTCTACGGAATACCTCCACGAACTACAAACTCGGCATAAATGGAAAACCACCGCTCCAAACGTGACCGAAGGATTATTAGTTTTGGTGAAGTGGCCAATGGGTCGCATCATCAAAACTTATCCTGGGCAAGACAACCATGTACCAGTGGTTGATGTCAAAACATCGACCGGTATATACAAACGCCCCATCAGTCGTCTCGCCCCATTATTCTGAGAGGAGGTAGTAAAAAAACGCTGCAATGCTATTCAAGACATTGCGGAAACAGAGGAGCCACCAACACTGCGAAAAAGGTTATCATTACCTACACTAACATCCACATTGTTAGTGTTACTTCTCATGCTGCCATTAGCATGCTATATGAAACTTGGAACCTCAAAAATGACCACTTCCGAATGGACCATGATTATATACTACGACTTGGATCCATATTGGAAGGATATGCAAGTCATGTCAGCCGGAATGTCCGCACACATGTGCCCTGAACTAAAAAATGTTCCAGCATGCAACTCCATATTTCAACACTTTCAACATTTGTTGTACAAAGAACTACAAACAGGAAATATGCTAATGAAGGCCTCTCGCAAACGCAGATCCCCGCTGGATATAGTAGGAAACGTGGCACACCAGCTGTTTGGTGTACTTGACTCTACTATGCTGAGAAAATGGCCAAAGTAATCGAAAAGGTACAAACCAACGAAGACTTTCTGCTACATCTACTACGAAATCAAACGTCAATTGTCGACTCCACAATAAACGTGATCAGGAAGGATAAGTCAGCCATGGACAACCGCCTAAAGGTATTGGAACAACAAGTGGCAACCATCAGCCGAGAAAGAGGAACATATCACGGCGATCATCTAATTCAGTCATACCTAGGGCTCACAGCACAACTAACTCTGCTGACAACGAGTCTTCAACGTATGCAGTCTGACATATCTGATGTGTTAATCGGCATTCACCATCGGACAATAAGCCCAACGCTAGTATCTCCTGAGCAATTAAGAGAGCAACTAGACCAAATCCGGGATCACTTGCCCGCTGATCAAATGCTGCCTGTCACAACACATGTGATACAATTATACAGGCTCATGCGAGCCGAAGGAACCCTGACTGCCACACACGTCATTTTCAAGGTGACACTACCGTTAGTTTCAACAGTTCAGCTCGAAGTTTTCAGTATCATGCCGATTCCCGTCTGGGACTCAACAAGTTGAAGCTTGTTCAATCTCAAAATGACCATAATCACTGTGAACACTCACCGAGATCAATTCATGGGATTCACTCCAGAAGAATTTCGACGCTGCTTTAAACTACTCAACGCAGAATACATCTGCTTTGATCATCAAACAGTCTTCAATGTCGACAATCGCTGTGAGTTTCAGTTGTTTAACAATAAAACAGCACCTTTATGTGAAGTGACCCACACGAAGGCGGACATGGTGTGGTCCAAAACTCAGCAAGCAAATAAATGGATTTTTGCAACACACTCTACAATGAGACTTCAGGCAGTTTGCAACGGGTCTCCGTCAACCATACAACTGGAAGGAACTGGCTTGCTCTCACTGTCACCTGGATGCACTGCTCGCAATACAGAAATAAGCTTCAGTACCTTCAGCACAACAATCAGTGAAGTCAAATCAACCTACACTCGATTTGGGGACATACGCTTACCAACCAGACATCAGACTATCTTCAAGAATTGGAAGATTTACGCCTGCAATTAGTGGCAATTAATCAACAAAGGCTGCCACACCATCTCAACACAGTGCAGCATCATCAAATCGCTACTTATGCTGCCCTAGCAATATCAATGCTATTGATTATTGCGTTCATTCTCCGGAAGAAGTATCAATCATGGAACCCAAGGCCGTCAACAAGCAACCAAGCAGACCCACGCGGATCATATCCCCCGATCCCCATTTCACGCCGCTTATCAGTCGACTTGGGCGATGGTTGAACACCAGTTCAACGGCCGGGAGAATGTTCAGTCGCATAATTATGCAATAATTAATATTAAATAATATACACTTATCGAATAAGTCAGGTCGACCCATGTAACGGGAGACATAATAACAAACGACAAAGCATTGTAGCTGAGTGAACAATAACCGCTTCTGCAGCAATTTCTGCCAACGATGCGATCGCTCTTCAGAGGGCAAAAACACTGGTGCAATTGCTGTTTTAAAAAAAAAAACCTGTCTAAAATAGGTATATGTATATGTGCAATTTCAAATAAATCAAACAATTAACATCTTTTATTTTTATATATTGTATTTATTTCCCACCCCCACCCACTCTGCCCATTCCTCATTTATGTTGCGGCAGGTCAGCTCAGGTCGCTAATCGGTTTCGGAGCTAAAAATTATTCTAAGCATACAATCATATATTTGGAGTGTTACACGTACACACATACATGCTTGTTGTCCGTCGGCTCGTGGCACTCTGATCCAGATTGGGCAATCTTGTAGACATGAACATTCTCTATGATTCTGCGTTTTGGGGTTTCTCGTATCTTTAAAATTGTGGATACTGCAGATTTTCGACCCTGTTTGTGAGGCTGAGCGAAGTTTTGAAATAATCTTGTAATAGCGTCACATCACAAAAGTCTGGATACAAAATTTGTTTGCTCTAGCTCTTACAGTCGCTGAGATTTAGGCACTCATCAGAACGGATGGACCGACGGACATGGCTTTATCGAAAAAAAAAAGAAATCTAATCACAAGTAATCAAGTAGTCCTGCTGGAAACTCGAAACTCGAAAAAGCAAGTTACAGTTTTGAGGATTTTATTTCCCAATTTTAAAATATTCGTCCAACAATGACTGACTCGGATGAGACCAGTTGGATAAATTGGTTCTGCAATCAGCGCGGAAATGAGTTCTTTGTGATGGTGGACGAGGAGTTCATTCACGACAAGTTCAATCTGATCTTTCTGGACATGGAGGAGAAGAACTATCACAGCGCACTTCAGGTGATCCTCGACCTGAACACCGGGTCCGCCTCCGCTGGTGTACCCGATTCCGAAGTGGAGGTTTCCGCCGAGAAGCTCTACGGGCTGATTCACGCCCGTTTCATCGTCACCAATCGCGGCATCGAACTCATGTACAAGAAGTACGTGAAGGGCGTCTTTGGGAAATGTCCACGCGTCTTCTGCCAGCGCCAGCACGTGCTGCCCATCGGCATGAGCGACACCATCGGCAGCGAAATGGTGCGTCTCTACTGCCCCAAGTGCAACGAGGTGTACATCCCCAAGTCCGCTCGCCACGCCAACCTGGACGGCGCCTTCTTTGGCTCTAACTTTCCTCAGATGCTCTTCATGGTCAAGCCAGAGACGCGTCCCAAGCGCTCTAAGGTTAAGTTTGTGCCTAGGTGGGTCCCACAATTATCCGTTAATCCATTCTTTATTCATGTACCCTCCTCGACCTCGACTCCATTCCCAGACTGTATGGCTTCAAGATCCATCCCCTTGCCTTTCGCTCTGAGACACATAAGGACTCGCAGGAAGAAGCTGATGCATAGAAAGCATGCAGCACCCTCCCCCCCCCCCCCCCAAACACACACACACACACACACACACACACACACACACACACACACACACACACATACACTATCGAAATTCACCGTGTATAATTTGTTTAGTGCTCTTTTCTTCTTGTTATTCTAATCAGCTCTAAACTCTCTCTCCTTAAACACACCCATACACACACATACGTATATGTAACCGATGCTGGCGCTCATCACCATTGCCTTCGAATGAATTCGAATGATTCACTTAATATTAAAATCAAAAAATCGAATATTGTTATATTTTTGATACTCTTACAAACAAACTGTCTGGTCCGTCCATCGTTTATTGGATGATCTTATAGCTAGAATAGGATGCGTGCTGGTGGATGGATGTGGGAATGAGTGCCCTCTATTTATTTTGTTCACATATAAATTCAATGGAAAAAATATTATTTTGCAGTGTGTAAATTATACAATATAAAACAAATTTTCCAGCAAATTTGTTCAGCATCTTTTCCGGATAGCAAAAGAAAGGAATTCAAAGTATCTTTTATGCGCGACTTCACCACAGTGTGACTTTTATTCTTAACTTGAGAATTGGATTCACCAATACCAAGCAAGGTAATGCACGACTCCTCTCTACGGATCTGTAAGCGGTGGACGAGGTCTTCCGTGATGAAGTTTGTTTGGGATCCAGAGTCCAGGAGAGCTCTGGCCAAAATGTGTTCACCGTTTTTTGTTCTGACGCTTATGATCGATGTAGCCAAAATCACCCTGTCCAACGAAGTCGCATGCAGAGCATGAGAGGTGGAAGGGTGATCCTGATTTAAAGGAGGACACGAACTCTCTGGGGGTGGCGGCAACGCGAGACTATTATCAGTCACTGTGTATCGATGCAACAATGTGTGATGTGAGCGGCCACAAACTCGACATTTGGCGACCTTGCATCTTTTCAGACAATTAATACATAAAGACGCAGACCTTTGAACCTTTGCATAACCGTGAAAATGGCGTGCAGTTGGCCACTACATGGTCTCCCGAATTGCAATAGCTGCATGTTCGCTGAGCTCTACTGTTGGGGGGAGTGGAAGAACAAGCAAATTAACTGCGATTGTGCGACTTGCTTGGCATGACTTTGTCGTGCCTTGGCTTTGTCGACTCTTCCGCAGACAATGCTGGTATCGACGATTTAAAACTTTTTCAAAGTCGGACCTAAGCGGCAACTTTTCGAAGTCAAGCTGTTCTTCCCACTTCTGTCTAGTCACTGGGTCGACTCTGTTCAAAACGAGATGAATGAGCATTGCATTCGAAATCTTCGTATCGTCTCCTATCGATGGTAATGAACCATAGATCGATGACACTGTATCGATCAGGCTCCTTAGGGACGATGCGGACTGTTATGAGATTTTTTGCAGATTAAACAGTGCGGAGACTTGGTTCGAAAATATTAGACACTCGTTGTCGTATACTCGCTTCAGGCTGGCCATGGCCTTTGCATAATTGGCCTCGGTGACTTGGAACGCTTTTTTTGTTCCTAATGCTTCATTAGAGAGGCATGAAATTAAATGATTAAATTTTTCAATCACCGTTTCAATCATCATTATGAACAAGAGTCTCAAAAAGGCTAATACAATTTTTAAACTCCGAATATTTACCACTACATTTTTGTAGGGACAATTTCGGAAGTCGACCACGAGTTGGGGCCGTAGAAGCTGATACCGAGGGCTGCGTATCGCTTGTTAGCTTCAAGGCATCGATAAGCGACATTAACTTTGCCTTGGTTACAATGGTCATTTCTTCCAGCTCGGCTCCAAATTCATCTTTGCTATCAATTTCTTCTATTTGCTCCTGCAATAGGTTGGCCTTGTTAATAGCAGTATTCAGAACATCGAGTCTGCATTGTAGCTCTGTCAATTGCAATGGAATCGACCCACCCTCTAATCGATCCTCTAAGCGGCGAATACTTGTGATTGGGTTTTTTGTTCATCGAGAACAGACTTATTTTCTTGTGCCATTTTTCTATTTATAATCTACGCGACGACAACCAATATTTTTTAGTAGATAAATAAATAATAAATGTTCAACAAGAACGAAAATAATTGAATGTCGAGGCACGAGGTGTTTAGTTGCTTGCAAGTGACAGCCAAAAACGATACCCTACCACTGTAGGGTAGCGCGTCACTTTCCAAGTGACAGCCAAAAACGATATTCCCTACCACTTTAGGGTAGCGCGTCACTTGCAAAGTGAGTGCCGAAATCAATATACCCTTAAAAAACAGGGTAGCGCGTCACTTGGCGCTCCGTTTTGATCAAGCGCGGCAACGAAAATTCTTCCACCAAATACACAGCAAGCAACAGCGAAAGCGAAAGCGAGAGACGAAAAGAATGCACCGGTGCACTATGGGAAATTTGACCACTTTTTCTGGCCAAAATTAATAACTCAAGAACGGAGCAAGATATTTCGCGTCTGTTTCTTGCATCGGGTTAAATTAACCAACATCTATAAGAAATATAAAAATAGAGGGGGTGGGTCCGCCCCTTTTTTTTAACTCATTTAAATTTCCTCATTTTCTTAGAGTATTTCTTTAACAAGTAACAACCATTTTTGTGAGAGTATTAGGTTATATTTATTGGACAATTGGGGCGTGGCACGCCTTTTATTCCATATTACCCTTTTTCGATGCAGGTCCACACAAATTGGATCTCGTCGCGTCTACCTAATCATATTTCAATAAAACCAAAGTAGAAATACCTGAGATATGGGATTTCATTCTTTAACCCATACAACAGGCAGTAATTTTTAGTCTTTTCAGTCAATTCAAAGGATATACAAACTTTTTTATTTGGTGTTATGTTGCTACAAGTTTTTAATCATAAGTGATACATTTGGTTTGCTAATGCTTGTTAACATTTTTTTAAATAATTTAAGTTTTCTGGCTGTCTTCCTTTTGTATTCGAACCAGATTCTCTTATGAGATTCCACACATAATCGCCCATCATGTTCTCTTTCCAAACACCTTGATAACGTTGTTCCATAGATTTAAATTGTTGATGAAATCTCTCTCCGTGTTCATCACTAACGTTGCCTAGGTTTGTCGGAAAAAAGTCCACGTGGGAGTGCAGGAAATGGACTTTTAGTGACATATTTGCCCCGGTTTTTTTATAATTCTTAATTAGCTCTTGGACGAAATTAACATAATCATCAGACTTTCTGTTTCCAAGAAAGTTTGTTACTACCATTCGGAATGAGTTCCAAGCTGCTTTTTCATTCTTAGATAACATATTTGGAAATCCATTATCTTTTAGTAGTTTTTTTATTTGGGGACCATCAAATACTCCTTCTTTCACTTTTGCCAGCGATAGACGTGGAAAAACAGCTTTTAGGTAACGCATTGATTCGCCTTCCTTATCCAGTGCTTTAACAAAATTTTTCATTAGTCCCATCTTAATGTGTAATGGTGGTAAAATAACGTCTTTAAACTTCACGAGAGCTGAATTCTGTATGTTGTAATTTTCCAAAGTATGTTCCTCCCGTTTTGGCCAGAGTTTTCTTGAGTAATGCTCTTCTCTAGATCTACTATCCCATAGAAACAGGAAGCAGCAGTATTTTTTGTAACCACCTTGCAATCCAGTTAACATGGCTACGACTTTAAAATCACATGCGACCTTCCACTGGTGTTCTTTATATTTAATATTTTCAAACAATTTAGCCATTGTTTGATATGTTTCCTTCATATTAACAGCATGTGCGAAGGGAACAGACGGCTTTTGGTTTCCATTATGTAGCAAAACAGCCTTTAAACTTTCCTTGCTGCTGTCAACAAATAACCTCAAATTTTTTGGGTCGTAAGCTTCACCCAGTTCCTTGAATAAACCAAAAATGTCGTGGCAAATGCACATATCATCTTTCGTCGTATAAAATTGTGCGTGAGCCAAATGACGCGTCCGGAAATGGGTTATGTTGACGTTTTCCTTTAATAAGCCGTAATCCTTTAAAAAAGATCCAAGAAACTCGGCTTTATATTTAGGAAGATCCAGGTTCCTCACCAAATCTTTCAATTGCTCCTGTGAAATAGGATTGCAAAATTTCCATTCTCCTGAATAGTTATTGCTTGAATCCGTTGTTCTATTCGCCGAGGAAGATACCTCTCCTTTTTTGCATTTTAGGGGCGGTATTTAATCTGAAGGACGAGCAGGAAGGGCAAAGCCGAAACCAGATTGTTTCGGGTAAACTATTTTCATGTGTTTCCCAATTCCAGTTTTCTTTACTGAACAAAAGAAACATTCGGCGCCGTGAATATCTGTTTTTTTCCACATCATTGGACTACCAAATTTAAATTTTTTTCTAATTGTATTTTGGGTAAAGTTAATAGTTTGTGGATTAGAGTTATTACTTTTCGTCGTAATCATATGCTGTTAAATTCAATCTACACATTTGACATGTACAGCTTGGTGCCCACTCTTCAACAAAACTTTCGGGTTTGATTTTAAAGTTTTCTTCATACTGTTTTTGGAGAGTTTCGGTAAAAGCGATTTTTATTTCGTTGATCATCATGTACTTACCACATATGTATGTAGCAAAATGAGTCTGCTTGGAAAGCACATGAAAATGATCGGCCAGAGGTATCCATGACAATTGATTTTAATTAATTGTAAGATGTTTTGGTAAACACACGATAGTATTCTGAGGGAAGTCAGAACTACACTAAGGCACAGACACTATAGGCACAGAGTTATATATCCATGACTATGATTAGGTAGACACCGAGATCCAATTTGTATGGACCTGCACTTGTGAGAATATAAAGGAAACATTTGACCTGAATAGGTATCCTACCTCAGATAACGAAAAAAGTAACTGTCAACAACATTTCATACCAAAGGAACGCGATCAGGTACCAAATGTACAACCCTTTATCGTTTGCTTTGTTCCCAATTGGCAGTTGGGCCCGCAACCTTCCAAAAGGTATTTTTTGTTAAATTTTTTTATTTTTTAGGTTTGGCTAACGAATTTTAGTTCCAAAGTATCTCCATATATTTTAATGAGCGATACCTTAAACGACGCCAAATTAATGCACCTAACACAAAAAAAAAAAGGACACGGGATATAATTTTTTTTTCTTTTCCTGAGTTTTTAAAGTCAAAATTCGTAAAAATACCGCACAAAATCATCATCATTTTTGCATTTCAATGCTTTTTATTTCCAGACGGTAAGCTGAAATCACAAAGTGTTTGGGCTTAGCTTCTAGCTGTTTTAAATATCTTTTCAAAATAGCAAAGTTCTTTACAAACAGACGTAAGATACTAGAGTTATGTGAAAACAAGCGCTACCTCTGAAAAAAGCTTAAAAAAAATACCAGTTTTCAAAAATTCGTAAAAAAATGTTCTGCCATAGAAAAAAAAAATATCATCAAACCATTTCTAAGTCCCAAATCTTTAAGAAAAAGTAGTGTAA